CCAAGTCAGTGACCGTTATTTCGTCGATGATCGCTTCTCCCTCTTTCATTTTTGTTTCCTTTTTCTCCTCTCCTCTTTGGTTTAGAACAAGAATTTGTTTAACAGCACCCTCTCAAAAAATCAACAACTGCTAACAAGCTAACAAAATCAAAACCTGTACCACACCCACGACCAACAACGAAAACGATTAAGGCGACTGTAACAAATACCCTACCAAGTATAATCTAATGCTTTATACATACAATTAATTTTTTAAATTATTATTATAGCAAAAACTTAAACAGCAGAAGAAAATCCTGGATCTAATAAAAATAACAAAACAAAACAACAAACAAACAATCGAGACCGAGATATAAACAGCTGGACACTCGCAGGTTTCACATTGCGGTGCTCAAAGCGCTTACTTTTATTAAACACCATACGCACGAACCACGACCACCGCTGTGCCTGTGTGTGTGTGTGTGTGTTTTTTTTTACAATAACTAACTCATCAACGGTTTCAAAAAAGGAAAAACAACAACAACAACAAAAAAAGACCAAAATAAAAGAAGCAACTTCCTTGAAGCTGCAGCAATGCGACCCTTTCATTATAGTGGCAAGGCAATCCCACGATACCCGCCTCTGTGCCTTTTAAAATTATGTGACCCGACCTTGGTAAAGTGGCGGCAATGATAGCAGGGGCACGGAGGGTTTTCATTTCGTTCTATTCTTGACCAGATGAATGTCTCTGTGTGTGCCAGTGGCCGCTTACAGAGAGGAGGAGGGAGGGAGGGTCCTTCAGATAAACAGCTGATTGTCCTTGGTCACTGACCCTGCTGCTTCGCCCGGTCTTCCTCGCCCGTGAATTATCTGTTTCTTTTGTGCGATTACGCCATCGGCGGTTTCTCTGTGGACTTCACTGACACTGTCTGAACTCCGAGCGGGTGGTCGGCGGGTGCTCCGGTGTGGTTTGCTCCTTCTTTCCAATCAGACATCTATCGCCCTTATCTCTCCTCCGCGGCGGGTGGTTGGAGGGCGCCACTGGTTGGTCGTACGTCTTTACTTTCCCTCAATTGTTTCTGTCTGTCTGCCTGTCTTACTTTTTCCCCAGCACTAAATCACCATTATTGTGTCGAAGTGCCTCTCTTTTCTCGAACAAACAGACATACAAACAAACAAGCAAACAATACCTCTATCTTCCCTTCTTTTTTTGTGGTTGTATTCTCTGTTAAAGTACCTTTAAACTTATTTGACCTATCTGTGTTGCAAATGCTTTATTTTAACGGTGCCATCGACACAATTTGGTCGCGTAAGTGCCGTGCGTAGCGTGTGTGGTTTCCTTCCGACGTGACGGGATACACTTTTTGTAGGAAGGTGGTCTTGAGAGAGAGAGAGAGAGAGAGAGAGAGAGATAAAGAGATAAAGAGAGAGAGAGAGACAGGTTGGGGAGGGGGGGGGGTGCTCTTTTGTTGTTTGTTCCTTCCTTCCTCTCAAACATCTGTCGTCCTTATTTCTCCTCCTATTTTGTATTTGTTACTCTCTTGTAACACCTCTAATCTTTGGCACTTATATGACATTTTTATTGTGTTGCAAGTGCCGCAAAACATTTACTAAAACTAAAACATATATCGTCCTTATCTGTCCACCTTCATTTGTTTGCACGATGTTACTCTCTAGAACCACCTCTAATCTTCCGCACTCATATGAGCTCATTGTGTTGTAGATGCTACTATAACTAAACTGAAAGCTCTGTTAGTTTTGCTACGACAAATGGGGAAAAGGGGCTGTATGGTCAGTGCCAAAGTCTAGCAAATTATTGCGCGGTGCAGCCCGATGTACTGCTTCCACGAACGAGCGCGCGCGAGAGAGACAGACAGACAGACAGAAGACAGACAGATACATACACACACACACACAGACAGAGAGAGAGAGAGAGAGAGAGAGAGAGAGAGAGAGAGAAAACGCAGGGGAGGGAATGAGGAATGCGTTGGACCTGATCGGCCTTGTGCCACCTCAGTAATTACCCGGACCAAAAGGTCTGTGCAGGTTGGAATGGAGGTTGTGGTCTGTGGTCTCGCGGGGAAAGAGGGGGGGGGGGTATCAGTCGGTTCTGTACCTGGTG